ATCCCATTGGTTATTCTGAAGTGTGTTAGTTTTCCAATTTTGTGGTATTTTCTGTTACTCATTTTTAACTTAATTCTGTTGTGGTCTGGGAACACACTTTATAGTACTTGAATTTTTTAATATCTGTTGAAGCTTGTTTTTGCCTAGTATATGGTCTATGTTGGTACATGTTCTGTGTACTTGAAAAAAAAAATGTTTGCTGTTGATTAGAGTGTTCTATAAATGTCAATTATATCAAGTTGGTTGGTGGTGTATTCAAATCATCCGTAGCTTTACTGCTTTTGTATCTGCTCTATTAACTTTTGAGGAAAGAAGCACAGATATCTTATGTGATCCCAGGTGTGTCTTTATTATTGTTCTGTGAATGAATTACATATTACCACACCTTCCTTTTTTTTTTTTTTTTAAAGATTGATTGATTGATTGATTTTACAGACAGAGATTACAAGCAGGCAGAGAGAGAGGAGGAAGCAGGCTCCCTACTCAGCAGAGAGCCCGATGCGGGGCTCTATCCCAGGACCCTGGGATCATGACCTGAGCCGAAGGCAGAAGCTTAACCCACTGAGCCACCCAGGTGCCCCCACACCTTCCTGTTTTAAGACTGCATGTGTTGGAGGTGATTCTCAAGTTTTTCTTTACACCTTTTGATAGCCTTCGGTGGTTGTAGAGACAGCCTCCCCACCAGAGGCCTGAGAAACTAGTGTTGGTCCAAAAGAAATGAGTACTTAATATAGTATCTTTATTAGAAAATAAAGACTTTGCTGAAAATCCTTCCAAACTATTTTGTATAAGAGTGTTCTGAATTTTTGATTCACTCAAATTGACTCTATTTTTGGCTCAGCAAGGGAAAGAAGAGTCATCTTTATCTTTGGCCAGCAATTTCTAGCACAGCTAAGAAGGATAGTTTTAGAATTGCCTTCTTTGGAGCCTTGATAGTTGGAGTAGAGCTTTAGCTACAGTTTTCTTCAATGTACTGGAGGGATAGGAGTTGAAGAAGAAATCAGCATGTGAACTTAACTACTTAACAATCTATTTTTATTCTCTAGTATTTGTAATCCGATCTAGTATTTCTTTTTTAATAATCAGAGATAAACTTCTAAGTGATAAGTGCATGGTTTTTATATTGAATAATACAAATATTGAAGTACAAGTGTGTCAGCTAAACCCCAAGGCATGGTAATTCTCAGGTGCTTGATCCTTTCTGGTACTCTGCCTGATGCCATGAGCAGGATCTATGGGTAGCACTGCTGATAAATTCCTGCTGCCTTAAACAGCAGCAGGAGATGTCCTTACCTATTCTGTGACTGTTCTTAAGATTCCTTGTGTGCTAGACAGTGTTATCAACCATGGAGTGTCCATTGCTAGTAGTCATTGTGGTGCACACTGTTAGCTGATCTCAAGGAATTGGAGAATTAATTGGGAGAGTTACTGGAGTGTCCTTTTTCTCTACTTCTGTGGGTGTTGGGCAGGTTGGTGTGGTTTGTTAGGGGGAGTCATAGTCTACCTTCTGGCAGCATGAATATTATTTACCCTTCTATGGGAAGAGGTTGAAAAATGGTCAGAAGAGGGGCACCTGCGTGGCTCAGTGGGTTAAGCCTCTGCTTTCAGCTCGGGTCACGATCTCAAGATGCTGGGATCGAGCCCCACACCGGGATCTCTGCTCAGCAGGGAGCCTGCTTCCCCTTCTCTCTGCCTGCCTCTCTGCCTACTTGTGATCTCTGTCTGTCAAATAAGTAAATAAAATCTTAAAAAAAAAATGGTCAGAAGAGACTTTTTTCTATGGATTTGGTAGTTAGGGTAGAATATATGGAATACTGGTTTGAAATTCTGTCATATTTTCAAAATAAAAAGATAAGTGTTTAGTACTTTTTATTGTTTTTATTTATTTATTTATTTTTTAAAAGATTTTACTTATTTATTTGACAGAGAGCCCGATGCGATGCGGGGCTTGATCCCAGGACCCTGGAATCACGACCCAAGCTGAAGGCAGAGGCTTTAACCCACTGCGCCACCCATGCGCCCCATTGTTTTTATATTTGTATTAAAAAATTGCTTCTTTACCCCGTCTTGTTTTAGTTGGCCTGCTTTTAGGTATATTATTATTATTATTATTATTATTATTGTTATTTTTAATCCTCTGCTAGGTACATCATTCTTAGCTCATCTGTGGGCTCCTGAGATACCGGGACTAAACTAGTAATTTCTTTTGTTCAACTTTCAGAGTCTTATTGAGAAAAGGAGTGGCTGTGCTTACACTGTGATTATATAGGAACTAGTGCTCTTCTTGTTGTTGGAGAATCCAAGTCTGAAACATACCATAATGATACAAATTTCTTCTCTTTATGAATAATTCAACTTTTTTTTAAATTTAGAGACTTTAATATTGGGAATAATATGCAATTAAGTAGTAAATAACTTTTTTTTTTTTTTTTATCTATTTGACAGACACAGCGAGAGAGGGAACACAAGCAGGGAGAGTGGGAGGGGGAGAAGCAGGCTCTCTGCTGAGCAGGGAGCCCGATGCGGGACTCGATCCCAGGACCCTGGGATCTTGACCTGAGCCGAAGGCAGAGGCTTTAACCCACTGAGCCACCCAGGTGCCCCAGTAAATAACTTTTAATTAAGCTCTCAAGTGTTCCCCAAATACTAAGACCAGGAAATAGTCCTGCAGTTGTTAAAAATGAAATACATTTCTTCCTGGTAGACAGAGCATGGACTTCGGAATCTGACCCAGTTTCTAGCCCTGACCCTCTTACTTACTGTCTCTGAGACTTGTGCCCACTTCAGCAGTATAGCAATCACACCATCGGCTTTGGGGGGTGATTGTAAGAAATGACATAGACCTCAGTATTTCCTAAATACTTTGTGTTGTGAAATGTGACTTGATGTTTTTTTGTTGTTGTTGTTTCTTTCTTTCTTTCTTTGTTTTTGAAGAAATTATTTCATGAGCAAATATGTCTGGGATTTGCAGCTTGCTCTTTCCTCTTTGAGGTCCCACTGTGTGTTAAGACATTGGGCTCTTTGAACCCCTTGGTCAGGAAATCTGCTTTGCTTTGTTGAACTTCAAATTTCCCAAAAGGACTTCTCCCTTCTTCTCCCCCAGCCCCCACCATGGAATGCCTGCACCATATTGTAGTTTCCTTTCCTTTCTTGGAACCTGGTTTTGAAAATAAAGTGCCTAGCACAGTGCCCCTAATTTGTACTTGGAAATTTATAGGTTTTTTCCTCCTCCTTTCCAGTGTTAATTTTAATGGTTCAAAACTTATATTGTAAACTCAGAGCCCAGTTCAATTTTAGTTTAACTATTTTTTCTTCTAATTTTATTGAGATGTATTTAATAATTCAGCACTGTATAAGCTTAATATGACTTGACATATGTATTTATTGTGAAATGATTACTACAGTGAGTTTAGTCACCACCTTTTCATCCATTTAATAATTTGCCGTATTCTTAATTTATTATTTTTTAGCTCATATCTTTTACTCAGAATATTGTTAAAGACTTCGATATTAAGATCTGAGAAATGTTGATATAGTGGGAGGAGAGTAAGAAACTCAGTATCTGGTCAGATTCCTGCTTCACTAATTCCACTGAGTAACAGTTTAAAAATTCATAAACATTTGTAGTGTTATTTGAAGTTTATTCCTAGCCCTCTGAAAGATACTGAGGTATGTTAAAAGATGTGGCTTGAATACTTCTGCATCTGCTTTGAGCCTCTGAACACCAACTATCCAGGTCTTTCTTGAGTGATTTGTAAGAATTCTGTAGATTTAAAAAAATGAGAGATAACAACATTGCAGTAAAAAAGCAGATGTTAAAAGGATAAGAAGTAGGAAAGCATTGTTTGTTTTAATAAAAAAATTAAGATAGATAAAAAAAGAATAAAAGTAATTTTATACCCAGAGGTGTTTGTTGCTAACATCTTTTTTTTTTTAAATCTTATTTTTAAAGATTTTATTTATTTATTTGACAGAAATCACAAGTAGGCAGAGAGGCAGCGGGTGGGGGGGGGGGGCGGAGACAGGCTCCCTGCTGAGCAGAGAGCCCCAGGCAGGGCTCCATCCCAGAATACTGGAATGATGACCTGAGCTGAAGGCAGAGGCTTTAACCCACTGAGCCACCCAGGCGCCCCTGTTGCTAACATCTTATCCTCCTAGATTTTTCCTTGTGTGTTTCACAAAAATGTTATCATATTCTACACGCTACTTTTTAGCCTGCTTATTTTACTTCCAAATGCAAAGTAAAGGTCTTTTAATGCTGGACATCTGTGAAAGCACCCTTATCTTTCCCAAGTATCTGCCTCAACAGGGTGTCCTCTCTCTCTATCCAGCCTGTTTGTCAGCAGGGCTTTTGAGGTTGGAGGAAGTATGGGGAGAGGAGCAAGCTCTGTTGGAGGGTAAACTGCTGTACATTATATGATTCCTTATTGATTATGCATAAACTATTGGTGTGTGCAAAACGAGGTAGAGTACACACCCTTTATTTTGTTGAGTTATGTTCTACTGACCCAAAAAGATTTGTGTTGAATTTATTGCTTAAAAGAGAAGACGATGACTTGTGGAAAGGTAGCAAGCTGGTGTGTGCATATTATGTATACCTAGACTTAAATACAAACCTGAAATTATTGTTATGGGGTACTGAATGGCATGTTGTCTTTCTGAGTTAAATCAGAACGAACAGAAAGCATAATAGGAAGGCAAAGGACATTTTTGTCTTGATGAAAGATATTTTTGAGAAAAATGTTTAATTATTAAACATACTTTGATCTGATTTTATTGTTTAGAGCTTTCTTAAATGGTATCAAGAACTGACTGAAGGGGGTACCTGGTTGGCTCTGTCAATAGAGCATGTAAGTCTTGATCTCGGGGTCTTGAGTTCAAGCCCTAGGTTGGATATAAAGATTACTTAAAAATAAATAAAATCTTGAAGAAAAACTGACACAAAGGAAGAGATTTTATTACTATTTCTCTGAAATTAAAAAAAATTTTTTTAATAAAAGGTGGCTACCATCCAGTGAAAATTGGAGACCTCTTCAATGGCCGATACCATGTCATTAGGAAGCTAGGATGGGGACACTTCTCAACCGTCTGGCTGTGCTGGGATATGCAGTAAGTGTACTTTGTCATTTGTGCATTTGATTTCTGGTCTAGTTCAACCTTTATCATCAGGTATGGCTGAGGAGCACACCTACTTCTGTTGTGGTATGTATAGTACTTAGCACAGGCCTGCCTCACCCAGCTAGACACCACCCTGCATGCCATGGTCCCCCGTAAGAAGTTCACTTGTGTGTTATCTTAATATATTAACTTTTTCTGCTTTTATATCTGAAGCTTATTCATTGAAATAGCATTATATCAGACATATTGTTCTTGTGGTAATTCATCCACATCAGAAAAATATTCACATGTAAAATAATAACGTATAGGCCTTTAAAACCTGTGGTTTCTGACTTTTTCGTAAAAAAGTCATGACCCCATAGTTTGAAACCAAGCTCCTACCCAGGACACACACACAGATGGTGTGTATGTGTGTGTAATAAAACACAGGTGTTATAAAATAAGAATTACCCTTAATCTGTATGATGAACTCTGACATTTTTCTAGTCCACCTTTTATTAGGTAAAAACAAAGCAAAAAAGAAATTGTTTTGATCCATTAGCCTATTGCTTAATTGTGGCCACACAGTTTGAAAAGTACTATTTTAAAGGGAAGGTTATTAGAAGTTTCTATTTATTGAATCGATTTTATTATAATGATAAGTTCTGCTGATAATGTTAAATTTTTTTTTAAGGGGGAAAAGATTTGTTGCAATGAAAGTTGTAAAAAGTGCCCAGCATTATACAGAGACAGCCTTGGATGAAATAAAATTGCTCAAATGTGTAAGTACTACAAAAATGTGAATAATGCAAGAAGAATTAATGACTTAAAATTTTACAGAGGGATTTGTATGTTCAAATACTGAATCTTTTATTTTTAAAAACATCACTTTTACTAAAATGTTTTTGGTTGGTTATAATGGAAACAACTTTCAGTCCTAAATGGTTCTGTTCTTGAATTTATTTTTCTTTCCATAGGTTCGAGAAAGTGATCCCACTGACCCAAATAAAGACATGGTAGTACAGTTAATTGATGACTTCAAGATTTCAGGCATGAATGGAATACGTATCCTTATTGACAGTTCCTTTTCTTCCTAATGACTTTTTACTTTTAAAATATGGAAATATTTTAAGCTTATTTAAACCTCTGTTTGCTGTATCAATGTCCACATAAAGCCTCTCATCTCATTGCAGATTGTTATAAAATGGTATGCCAAAAAAATTCCCCAACTGCCACCAGTCCATTTTGTGTCTGGTGTCTCTGAGGTTGTATAACATCTTAAGCATCCTTACTGCACAGGTACTGGGCTCTTTACAGACAGCCCCTCTACCTTCACTACCAAGCTAGGGAGGGCCTTACATATGTGTAAGGGGAGAGTAGAGAAAGATGGGTTATAGTCATCTTTACAGACTACAGGGAGCAAAGATCAGTGTGTCAATAGCCAGGATCATCATCTTACCATGTTTGGCCATCATTTTGGTATTTGACCTGGTCAAACTCCAGAAGCCCAAGGACAAAGCCTTCTCCCACTTCAGATCCCAGAATGGCACCCTGTTTCTGCATCTCCTAAGCTTTAATCCTTGGGGAGCCACTTCCTTCATACCCTGTATGTCTGAGGGAGGTTCTGTATTTCTTCTAGAGATTGGACTAGAGGCTACTACTAGTAAGTACCAATGCCTGCTGATTGTCACCTTGACCTTTGCCTCAAGATTATTTTTGCTAGTTGCTGAGTGCATTTTTCCCCACTTGAAAAAAAAAAAAAGATTTATTTATGTTTTGAGCGAGTTTAAGAGTGAAGGGAGACAGAGAGAGAATCTCATGCAGGACTCCCCACTGAGCACGGAGCCCGACGCAGGGCTCTGTCTCAAGACCCAGAGATCACGACCTCATCCAAAGTCAAGAGTCACACACTCAGCCAACTGAGTCACTCAGGTGCCAGTCCCCCCCACCCCACCTCCACAGACAGAAAGAGCTGGTCCTCTGACTAGTCTCCTGCTGAATCTGTTTATTTATGGGCAGGCAGGGCGGCCCCTCTTCTTTGCATCAGTTCTGTAAGGCAGCTTATTGGGATAGCTGACAGGATTTCTTTGAGAAACTACCTGATATATAGGTAAATGGAGTGTTTGGGGTATATATATTCCAGTGGCTGTTTTTACCATTAAATAGGATGCTAGGAAACCATTATAATCCAGGTTGTCAGCGCTTTGAAGAAGATTTAGGTCATAATTTAGAAATTTTGGCCTTTGATTCTCTGTCTTTTACTAATGCTAATCCTTAGTTTGCCTTTTTTAATGATGATTTGGGAAATAGTAAGAAACTTCTGGCTTTAGATTACCTATACATAAGTCTATAATGTTCTCCACTGTAGAAATGTTTTCTTTTTTAAATTTTCATTAAAAGTATTTAAAGCAGCAGTTATTGTGATGATGTGATTTGGTAGATCCAGATATTGTAGAGAATATTAAATCAACTAACCTGCTTTAATAATCTATCTGTAGGCTTCCAGGGATGAACGATGTAGTCTCAAGAAGTTTCAGAGCCATTTTAAATCTTCCTGTATGAATAACATGAATGTGTTTGTGTGATGGACTTGGGTGGGTCACAGTCCCTGAAAGTCTGCAGCAGACTAGATTTCTATTTAAAAAAAAAAGAAACAAGAGGAGCACCTGGGTGGCTCAGTCATTGGGCGCCTGCCTTTGCCTTGAGTCATGATCTCAGGGTTCTGGGATCGAGTCCCATATTGGGCTCCCTGCTTGGCGGGAAGCCTGCTTCTCCCTCTCCTACTCCCCCTGCTTGTGTTCCCTCTCTCGGTGTGTCTTTCTCTGTCAAATAAATAAATAAAATCTTTAAAACAACAAGAAACACAACACCTCAGATTCCATAGATTTAATTCTTTGGGATCGATTGATTTATTTATTTATTTATTTATTTATTTATTTATTTATTTATTTATTTAGATTTTATTTAATTTTTTGTCAGAGAGAGAGGAGCAAGAGCGAGCACAGGCAGACAGAGTGGCAGGCAGAGGCAGAGGGAGAAGCAGGCTCCCCGCCAAGCAAGGAGCCCAATGTGGGACTCGATCCCAGGACGCTGGGATCATGACCTGAGCTGAAGGCAGCTGCCCAAGCAACTGAGCCACCCAGGCGTCCCTGGATCTTTTTAAAAATTTATTTATTTATTTGAGAGAATGAGAGAGGGAGAGAGAGAGAGAGCATGAAAGCAGGGAGGGTCAGAGGGAGAAGCAGACTCCCTCTTGAGCAGGGAGCTGGATGCTGGACTTGATCCTGGGACTCCAGGATCATAACCTGAGCCAAAGTCAGTCGCTTAACCAACTGAGCCACACAGGTGCCCCTGTAAGTGGGTCTTAAGTGCCATGTCTTATATTGTGATCCTATGTTATTGAAAACTGCCTAGAGTATTAAAGTTGATCTGGTTCTGCAATGAAAGATACTACTGAAGGAAAAGATTAAGTATCTTCACTGTGTTTTTAAATTTCTATTTTTATAAAATATATAAAATATAAAAGTGTTTCATGGATTGGAATTAAGTGTCCTCCTTGATTGCCTAAAGACAGAGTTTTTTGGGTCCCCCCCAGTTAGTTTTTATGAGGTTTCAGCCTTGCTCACTTTCATTACAACTGATGATCAGGGAGGGGTGTTGAAATGAGCAAGAGTGCAGGGAGGTGTGGGTTTACATAATGGCCAGACCACCTTGGGACTGTGTGATGCCAGAAAGCTCTTCCAGCTCCTGGGTTCACTGTGGCCACCTCTGTGTGGGGCTAGGCACATTGTTTGACGAGCATACATTGAGAAACATAGAAGATATAAGTACTTAGGAATTGTTAGAGCTATTTATTTTGGTGAGAAACAGCACATGACCACTATTACTGATAGTAGTAACGTTGCATTTTAAAGTGGTTTTTGTTTTTGTTTTTTAAGAGATAGAGTGCAGGTATGCACAAACAGGGGAGGGGCAGAACGGGATGGAGAGGGAGAGGAAGAACCCCAAACAGTTTCTGTGCTGAGCATGGAGCCCTATGTGGGGCTCGATCTCACAACCCCGAGATCGTGACCTGAACCGAAACCAAGGGTCAGACACTTAACCGACTATGTCACCCAGGTGCCCATGATGTTGTATTTTATAAAGAAAAAATTGCCAAGGGCCACAAAGTTGCTGCTTTGAGTAATTGCATCACTCCAGGAAGTGTATCTGGATGATCCTTTACCATGTCCCAGATGTCTGCATGGTCTTCGAAGTACTCGGCCACCATCTCCTCAAGTGGATCATCAAGTCCAACTACCAAGGCCTCCCAGTTCGTTGTGTGAAGAGTATCATTCGGCAGGTGAGGTTCTGAGGGCAGTCCCTATCCTCTCCTTCCTAACTGGCTCGACTTTCAACGAAAGCTCCTGTTCTTAAATACACACACACACACACACTCGTACAAATATAATCCCTGTTTCATAAATACATACGTGTATAGTACAGTGTGTAACATGTTGAACTTGTTAAGTCAACTTTATAGGTATTTAGTCATGTGCCATCCTGTCTTGTACAGAGGGCAGTATGTAAGTGTCAGGCATGCATTTCTTTTGGTGTACTGACCTTTTTTTAAGGTAAGTGATACGGCATACTGAGAAATTGTTTTATCTAATATCATTACTGTGAAATGTCCCACTTAGTTCCTTAGAAAATAATTCAGAAGAAATAGATGATTTGTGTTCTTTTACTATTTCTATGTCTCTTTGGATGGAGGCTAAATGAAAGGTAATATAAGGAATGTTGAGGTTATATGTGGAGTATTATGTTAGATTTTTACTCTGTTCATTTGCCTGGACAGAAGGAAACCTTTAGCTGGGGTCTGGTTCAGGGACGATGTTCCAGCAAAGATTAATAGAATGAAAGTCTACACATGTGGAAGATCTCCTAATTAAAAAATTTACCAGATTCAGTTTTCTGCATGGAATACATCAGTCTGTATTCCTCATTGCCCTTATAGCCTACATTAGGAAAGTTGTGGATATGCCTTATTCTGAATTACCTGTTCTGGTATCATGGACAGTTGCCATGGACAATTCTGCAGAGTAAGTGATATATCAGGGGGTTTACTTGGTTTGCTCAAGAAAGGGCTGGGTGATTTGGCGCCCATCCCTTGCCCATTTAGGTCCAGAGCTTAAGCTGGTGCTTGGGGTTGGTGGGGGAGGTTTCTAGACCCAAAACACAGGCCTCCGTCTACAATTCTTACATAGGAAAAGAATCAGGGAATGATTCACAATTAAAGAATTGTGAATTCAAGGGCTGGGCACCTACAAAATAACCTTCCACAGATGGTATTTGCATACATGCACAGGACTAGGTTTTTAAACCCATTTTATGAAGATTCTGGAGCTTAAATTGGTTTGTGAAAGCATCTTGGATTTTGCTTTTGAAATTGTATATAGGTAGCATTGCTTAGTCAGCCTGAGTGTTGTCATTTATCTTTGTTTCTTTGCATTGCAAATTGGCAGCTTGTCTCTTAGCATTATACATGTCCTGTGAAAGGAGATGCCGGAGAGAGAAAGACCCTTTGCCTTGGCTTATCCAGGGAAATCCTATTCTGTGCACAATATTATGTTGGGTACATGCACATGCCCTTTGTGGACTTGTGGCCAGCTCTGGATTAATAATACTGTCTGTTCCCTTTTAGATTTTAGATAGTAGCATTTTAACTTATTATTTTAACATGGCTAGTATCTCAAACCAAAAAACAATTTCCCTTTAACAATGGCATTTAACCTTTATTGGAATTTTTTGATCCCTAAATGACACTTTGGTATTTATAACTATTAGTGGCAACTCTGAACTCTAAAAAGTCATCTTGTTAAAACTCCGAAAAAATGTCTTATCTCTTGATAAATCCTGAAAATATTAAGATTTACAGATTCTAACTAAAAGCAGATAATTTGAGAAACCCCAGCTTGCATCTATTTCACTTAGGTCTGTCATCCCCTGGAACCTGGTACTTTGAAAGCTGTCTGTGGCTGCCTGAGGTCACTGACCACAGCACAGCTCACGCTGGGCACTTAAAAGACATGACTTCGCAGATGAGCCGTTTATACTTATTTTGTGTTCCTGAACGGGGAAATAAAATGTGGCCTTTCTCAGCAAGTGAAAGAGTCTGTAAATCTAAAGATGAAATTGTTGGAGTTTAATGAAATTTTCATGGGTCCTTGCCCAATGAACAAATGATTTTAATGAGTGTGTAATTCACATACACTGAGCTTTGCGGACTGAGAGCTCTTACAGCATTTTATTGGTCTAGAAAAAATTCAAAGTGAAATTTTCATTTTCTGTACTTAGTTATTATAGGAAATATTTAGTTTTGCTTTTAGTGTGACCCCACCTTTAATTTTATGTAAGAAAGCTGTCGATTCTGGAGTTCTTTCCCTAAACTTGTAATTTTCAAAGTAGTAAATTGTTATCTATCCAGTTAATAATCTATATCACCTGGAATTCCCTTTATTTCTTTAGATACAGCCTATGGATTCAATACTTTTGACTCCTAGGTAATAGCGGGACAATCCTTTATAAATAGACCTCACAGTTTCAGTGCTTCCTGGAACAGACAAGGTAGACCAGCTTTCTAATACTCTGTCACTATGTGGCCTCCCTTGTCTTCGAAGTCAGGTGTGGCTGACCCCGTTCCAGTCCCCCATCGTCTGTAACTTGCCATGCTTCACTGGTCGCCTGGCCCTCCTTTCCTCCTGTGCTGTGCCTTTTACTCCTGGTCTTTCCCTTTCCAGCACCACTGTCCTTAGTTCAGACCCTTAGCCCTCCAGCCAGTACCTTTTAATGGGCTTCTCTCGACTCTCCCAGATGCCTGCGCATCCCTACTCCATTTCCTTGTGCCAATTTTTATCTCCTTTCCATTGGCAATTACCTTCCAAAACAAAACTTTGCTTTGAAACCTTTAGTGGCTTTCCAGTGCGTGTTGTCTGAAGCTTAACGTTTGCTTTCAGGAAGCTACATGTGGTGGGAGAATGAACTTGGGTTTTGGTGTCAAGATGTACCCTTTTCTAGCTTGGAACTTGAGCTAAGTTCCTTAACCTCCTTAAGCCACAAGTTCATCATGAATAAAATGGGAATAATAAAGATACCTTCCTTGTACAATTGTTGTTACATGTAAAGGGATGCTACTATTAATTATCACAGATTTTTATTCAGTGCTACTTAGTATGTGCCAGGCAGCATTGTAAGTACTTTGCAAATTTTAATCCGTTGACTCTTCACAGTAACTCTGTGAAATAGGTATTTTTACCCTTCTGATTTTACAGAAGAGGAACGGAGGTGTGGAGAGTTTAAGTAACTTTCCCCCAGTCAGGAAGTGACTTAAACAAGTAGTAAGCTGTGGAATGGGCATTCGTACCCAGAGCATTTGGCTATGGAGGTTTTACCTTTAGCGTTTGCCAAGCGGCATAGGGTACCTTTAGAATTGTACTTGGCCTAATGTCCAGTAAAAGTTAAGTCACTATTCTTCCTATGAAACTATTTAAGGTTTTTTGCCATCTGGTATCAGCCCATATTTCCCCTTGCAAATCCCAATTCAGCTTTTATCTCCTGGCAGGTAAATGTTTTCCCATTAAAAATCTTTTAAATAGGTAATGCATGTAAGTGTTCTAAATGGTTACGTCCTTCTGGCACCCAGTTTCTCACCCAGAGTCAACCAAGTTACCAGTCTCTTATGAATGTTCAAAGATGCCCGAGCATTTATAAATACATGCAGATTTACCTGAGTTTTTATTCATGAATTTTTATTAGTTTCATTTTGTACGTATTTTAGAGGAAGCACTCACCTGGCCATTTTTTAGCTGCACATCTTTCATCATTTCTTTTGTCTTAGGCTGCCAAAAATACCACCCTTTCTTTTCTACCCATGCTTTGAAAGACTCAGCCTGTTTCCATGATGAAGGCTTCCCACACTGCCCCGGTTAGGAATGCTCTTTGTTGCCGCCTCAGTCTACCTGCACTTCCATTTGGGCCTTTCCTGATGATCACAGCATCTTCCTGCATGGGCCGCAGCCCCGTAGCCCCGGCACTACTCACATTTTGGACTGGACAGTTCTTTGTTGTGGGGATCTGTCTTGTAGGATCTTCACCAGCATCCCCTACCCTCAACCAACTAGATGCCTGTATCAGCCACCACCACCCCAGCTGTGATGGTTTTAAAGGTCTCTCAACTTTGTTGGGTGTTCCTGAGGAGGTGGAATTCCCTCTTGGGAGAAAACCACTGGGATCGGGGAAGGTACCCCTGCTAGGTGCCTTGCCAGTAGGCCTCACTTCACATTATACCTTTGGCATGTACTGTTTTGTGACCCTTTTCTGGTGATGTAGCCTCTGTGAGCCTGCTTTTTCTCCTTTGTAAAGCTGGGATGGTAATAGGTAATTTGTGGAGTTAACACGGAGGGACTGTGGATTAAGCGTCCGGCGTGGTGACCAGCGTGAAGTGCCCAGTGTGTCCCCACCTGCGTGCGGGTTTCTGGAGTTATGAGTTCTCTGTGACTCCTGTGTCTCTTTGGAGCTTCCCTCGTGCCAGAGGTGGTCAAAGAATGTTTTTAATATGCTCTTTACTTAAATGAAAGCAGTATACATTCCTCTTTTTATTCTACAAAATGGCTCACTTTCTGTGATTTATGGACTTGTAGACCAGCATTACCCCTAGTTTGTATTTTAAAAGTAATGACATAATTGAATCATCTGTCTTTTCAGGGTTTCCCATGTACTGTTGTCAGTCCGTTGGTCAGTTCTGAGCTGTCCTCGTGTAGTCCTGGTGGCTTGTGCTGGGGGGAAGAGGCCCGTGCTGGTGGTGTCTGGCAAGCTCTGTGCGGTCTCTCCCAGGCTGCTCTGGCTCAGGCGTGGAGGCTTGTGTTAGTCTGTCCACCCCCAGCTTTCCGTGCTGCTTTTGAAATCGGCTATAGTGAGGTCTGGTTCATGTCTTGCTCTTCCTTCTGCATCCAGGAGAAGAGACGGGTGCTCGTGTTGGCCGTGTTTATTGTGGAGCGTGGAAGGTGCGGCTTCTTTACATACTGCTCTCCTCTCGGCCTGGCTTTGACTTGCTTGTACGTTGAAGGGGTAGCTGATATTTTACTTTTTAAAACCTTACGGTTTAGTTCATTACCCTTTATAGGAATGTGAAAGGAAGAAAGGAAGTGGCTTCTTGGTAAGGGCAAGGCCCTGATTTTGGTGACTTTGCTATGGTACTGGAAAAACTAGCAGTTGCAGCTTGTAGCTCTGGATTTTTAAATTTTTATTACTCTTTTGGGATGCCTGGGTGGCTCAGTCCATGAAGCGGCTGCCTTTAGCTCGGGT